AAAATAAAATATTTATAAAATAAAATAAAATATTTAAATAAAAATTATACATTTAAAAAAAATTAACAATTTTTAATATTTTTAAAAAAATAAATCCAAAAATACTGTTCCAAACATTGTTTGTTTCTTCTAAACCTATCCTCTAATCTAAAAACATTTTTTAATATTTTAAGACAAAGAGCAATAAGGTTATTTATTATACAAAAGTAACACTGGTTGTTCTAATTTGATAGAATGTGGGAATTTGGAGAATGTTAGATAAAGTAAAGAAAGTTATTATAATTATTGAAACTATAAGGAAAATCCCTATATTTGTCAAAAATGAGAGGTCAGTGTAATGTACCCATATATATTCAATTAACATAACTTTCTTCTTCATTTTAATTAATTAATTTAGCCATAAGAGCTCAAGAAAATAAAATGAAAATAACAAAAAAGGAAAATTTCCAATAAATTCTAGGATAAATTACAAATACACCTCCTAAGGTTACTTAAAATACGAATTATCTTTTGTGGTTTGAAAAATTACAAATACCTTCTTGTTAGAATTTTTATTTAACAGAATTAATTGAAAAAGTAAAATTTCTAACTGTTTACCTATACAATAATAAAATTATTTAAATTATTAATTGAAATAAAATTTTAACATTATTAAAAAGTGTTAATTAACTTGATGATTTATTAATAAAATGACTTATTTGTTATAAAATTAGAAACCTTGAGGGACATAACGTAATTTTTAAAATCACATGAGGTAATTTATAATTTAAGTAAACCTTAAGAAGTGTATTTTTAATTTACCATAAATTCTATTCACACACAATAAAATTTTCACGAGAATAGTTAGAATTATTTGATATTTTTTTCAAAATAAATGACAATGAAAAGGAAAATGTAATTAGGACAATTAATTGATCTAAAGTTTGATTGAAATAAAAGGAAAAAAGTCATCAGGAGAAATACAACCAATTTCAAAGAAGAAAAAGGGAAAAAAAAATAATGATAATTTTATAAAAAGGGCCCAACCGGGTTCGAACCGGTGACCTCTTGATCTGCAGTCAAATGCTCTACCACTGAGCTATGAACCCGTTTGTGTCATTAATTGAGAAAAAATAGAATATAGCCTATCAATCCACACTTCTAGTATTTATGAGGCTCAATGGTGCACTATTCTGCTCACATAGGATAAAATTTTTTATTTTTTATTTTTAATAACCAGGCATCTGAGCCAACTTGTCTTACAATTTTATCATTCTGTGTGTCTGTTCATTCCAAGGTATTATAAATTATGTGCTACCAAATAATTATTTACTGGATAACTATAAACATCTTAGATGAATTCGATCTGATTGAATTTTGAATTTTGCAGCAAAACATTAGTTGTTTGTTTATCTCTTGCTTCATTATAGATTAAAAGCAAATCCTAGCAGATTCCAGGGAACCCTAATATGAATTCTAGGATAAACCGAGGTGAAAATTTCATCTTCTTCCCAACTGAGGATTGTATGTCTAGATCTGCATTTAATTTTGGCACAAAAGGTATATAATGCATAGAAAGCAAAGAAATGGGAAAATTTAGAAAAATGTTTGAGGGTTACAAAATCAGTGGCTCAAATGGTTCGAAATTGCCAAAACGACGTCATTTTGACAGTTTCGAGCCATTCGAGCCACTAAATTTCGGGCCACCAACCATTACTGAAAAAATTAATGCTATTTACAGAAAAATGATTGCATCTATTCCATTTACGGAAACTTTGATTGTTTCAGCCTTCAGTACCACTGTGATGATGCCCTTAAGCAGTAGGGTTAGTACCCCTAAATTGATCTCAGCATGTCCATTCAAGCCCAATTGTATGACAAGATCAATCTGGGTTAAGTACTTGAAGTTCATATTTCCACCTCTGTCTAGCACATTCGTTTGGAAAGGGGGTTGACTTTTTGATTTTTTTGATTATTTTAGCCTGGGTTAAAAAGTTTGATTTTAGAATGACTTTTTAACTTTTTTGACTTTTTTTGTGAGAGAAGAGTGTAATGATTATGAGTTAGATGTGATGTTTTATTTGTTGTGGTTAAAATAGCCAAAAAAAACTCCCAAACCATTTTCCCAAACGGTTTATGGTGTCCACCGCTCGTCTCAAGCATCAGCTTGCAAAAATCTAGCTTGATTGAGATTTGAGACGCAGCACATACCAACTATGAATAAGCATTTGGAGCTTTGACCCTTGAGCTAGACCTTGTCATTTGATCATGAGATTCGGATAGTTCAGATACACACGGAAAAGTTCTCCAAACATGTTCAAAGAACAAAAAAAAATAAAAAAGTTGATTTAATCTGAGTCTAGCCTTGAACCTTATCTTCTAAAGAACTGTATTAGATTTCCAAATAAGATTTGCTAACCAAACCCAGGAAGAAGGAAGTCATCTGATGGTATATATGTAAATCAGATGTCCAAAAACCTTAGGGCATAGAGGAATATGTGCATACATGCATATATAGATGCAGGAAGCTTTCTGAATATATATTACCAAATAACTAATGAACATGTCACATATGGCATATTTGAATCTCAGAAAAACCCGAAGATAAAGGTTTGGTGGCAAATGTTATGTGAAGTGTAACAATCAAATACTCCTAGCAAATTATTTTTCTGCCAAGTGAGAGCTCAAGGGTTCATAATTGCCTCAGCAGCTGTACCGATGTTCAAAACCATTACAGAGAGCCATGCAACATTCGTTCCACAAACAAAGAATCTTTGAACTGTATGTTGCATGTTGTTGGGCAAACAGTTCCATCCCTAATCTTGCCATGAATTTTCATTACTCCAGTCTCCACC